ATAATAAAAATAATTGGGTGTTACATTTTAATTCGGATAGCATTTTTTTTTTTATACCCTAAATACAATGTAACAAGTAAATAACATAAAATTTTACCACAATCATCATTGTAGAACAATGATGATTTACTCTTTTATTCATATGAAATTACCTTCGCCATACTCAAAATATTTTTCACTAACAAAAAGATTACATTATCTCCGTTGTCCAATGGGAAGGCAGTGATTGACATTTAAGATTGAGATATAATAAAGAAATTCTTGGTTATATTGTAGCGGACAAATTATATATAAAACTCTATATATATATATATATATATTATAATAAGATTATATCAATCACCATGCACGAATAGAAGAGCAGACATATCATCACTATCAACTTTCATTTTCAAGCAGTCCAGTTCAGTCAATATTGTACCAATAACTTACTTCAATAATGTCTAATTTTCTTTCAGTAAAAAAGCTATATATATATATATATATATATATATATTAGATCTTAACGAAGAGTTCAATTTGAGTTTGGATTCCTCATATATTTAAAGTATGTCATCACAGCTTTTTCTTTTTGGAATTTGGTTGTATTAGATCATGGATGTTGAAACTTGCATGCAGTGTTTGTCTGCTTCTGTTTTATTATTTTAAATGAAATCTTATATTCACAGCTAAAATGACAACCGGGTTATCTACGTCAAAAGTAAAAATAGATTGTAGGGGCACCAAATAATATATATATATATATATATTGAATCAACTAACTATTAATATATACCCAACTATTGTTTAATTAAATAATTAATATATATATTTTTATAAAAGATAGTGAATTTTTTTTTTAAATATATAGAGAGTTAAACGAAATAAAACGTGATTTAGATTTGACAAACTCTAAATCAGAAAATACTAGTGATGTCGTCTTTTTATCGTGTTAAGAAGAGCGGTAGGTGATAAAATATGAGGATGATAACCAAGTGGGGACAAAAAGACTTGATTAACTAATAAATCTGTACATCGGTTCACTTCCCTATAAATATGCTCTATTTTAACTTCTCGAGTCCTCTCAAACCACGTCTACATAGTATACACTAAGTGAGAATTAACATTTATATAGATGACCTTCTTGTTATTCACTTTGTTGAGTTTTTGAATCGCAAGACTGCTGTTTATTTTCAGGATTACTTTATGCGTACTCAAATTAAAAATAGTGAATTTAAATTTTGTTCTCGTGTGAAGGATAACAAAAATAATACTCGTTCTATTAAGCTCACGGGCAATCTCCATATAAACATTATTAGAGAATTATTATTAGTGTATAACGAACTATTATTTATCTAAGCAATTAATATATCTCTTTTTTTAAAAAAGTTATGGTTCAAATTTTGTTCTTACTTGAAAGGTGATGGAAATAATACTCATTCTACTAAGTTTATGAATAGCCTTCATGTGATGATATAATAAAGCTATTATGAAATATTTACTAATGGGTAGGATAAGTTCTTTTATTCTAATTCATGATGTCTACTGGTTATATGATTCATTCAGGGAGAAATTGAGTTTTAAGAAATTATGAATGATTTTATCAATACATAAATATATAACTCTTCAGAAATTTTAATTACGCTTGTATATTTTTACAAGAAATAGTTGATTTAAGTTTTATTTTCATTTAAAGAATAATAAAAATAATATTAATTTTACTTAACTCATGAACAATCTTTAAAATAACTATTAATTTATAAATAATTATTATTTAATTGAATAATTAATATCTTTCTTTCTTTATAAAAAATAATGAATTTAAATTTTATTTTTTTAAAAAAATAATAAAAATAATACTCATTTTACTAAGTGTAGGGTGACCTCTTTAGAAAAATTATTTGAGAAGAAAATAAATAATAATAATTAGAATAAAGTTGGTTAATTATTATATTAATTTTTTATATGCTTATATAAATAATAACACACATAAATATAAATATATGATTTTAGAAAATAGAAAAAGAAAAAAAATATTTTTATATCGCAATCAGAAAGCTAAATGTTTTTGTCGTTGTTACATGTGACGTCATCAATGATGATGACGAGAGAAAGAGGATCCAACAAGGCAGCTACGGGCTGTATGTGTGCGCGCGCGCGCGCGCGTGCATATATTCGTCATTTTCTGGTTCTGAAACCGAAAACTCAGTACCGACCATTCTTTTCAAACTCGTCTCTGTTTATGTTCTTCTTTTCCTTCGTAAAAAGGAAAAAAAGAACAAAAACTGTTTCTGTAACTCATTTCCAGTCGATCAATCGCAGATATGGAGACTGGAGAAATGAAGAAGACGTTGTTGGAGAAGAGCTACCATGAGGACTGTCCAGGCTGCAAAATTGAGCTCAAGAAGCTCCAGCACCGGGGTTTGCCGATCAAAGAATTTTTCTCCATTTGGATTATTGTTCTCGCCAATGGTAAACCCTAATATACACACACATATATATATATATTTTCATCGCATTTTTCAAATTTTCATTCTTGAGCTTTCAGTCTTCAACAATGAATTCGATCGGTTACATATATATATATATATATCTGTATGTGTGTGTACATATAATATATACATATGTTTACCTAAACAAAAAAATCTATATATAGGAAAAGTTATATTCAAAATTAGCAGTTAATTTTTTTGGATGAACAGAATTAGCAGTTAATTAAGTTTAGAAGTGTAGAAATTAAATTAAAAATTAATCAATTTGCATTGTAAATTTAAATTAAATATAAATTCTTAAATATTTTATGAAGTAGAAAGTTCATTAATCCTTTTTGGATTCTGTTATTTAATATATTAATTTGAAATTAATAATTCAAATAATAGAAATAGAAAATAATAAAAAAATATTAGTAACGTTTTTTGTTTTTTGTTTAATTGATTTTAAAATATTTAATATCACGTCTAGATGAATTTAACCTGTTCTTATCTTCAATCCAAATCCGATTATCCCAGATTCATTCCCTCTTAACCCTAGAATTAATTGAAGGACCTGTAAGGAAAGCAGCGTTCCCGCTCTTTCTGTTTCGCTTCAGATGACTTTCCCCGGAGTTGAAGATGCTTTCTTCAAACTTACGCAATTGAAATTGGGATCCACGCCTTTGGTCTTTGACCTACTGCATGTCCGGCGGGCGATTTCACTTCCGGCGAGCGTGAGTTCGCGGAGGGACCGGGCGTGGCAACTATGGAAAAGAATGAAGTGAAGCTGCGAGAGAACTTCACAGTTCATAGCTCTAGCTGGTGCGGCGACGGACCGCATCAGTCGGACCTGTTGTTGAAGATTAGTATCTCGAGGTTATGATGACATTTGCTTTGCTCGTATCGAAATACTTGATGGCGAGACGGAGGTGAGTGTACGAGATTGCCCGCCGCTCCTGTTGATTCCTTTTTAGGATTCTTTCCAGATAATGTTTTTATATAATTTTTGTTAATTTCCATAATTAATAGTTTATGATATAAAAGACAAAATATTTATGATATAATATGATTTAAATAAAATAAAATAATTGAAGAAGAACGTTTCCGATCGCAAGTCGTGCTCCTCTGCTCGTGAGTAGCCTCGCGGCTGGAGTTTGAACGTGACTGTGACTGGTGACTGATAGTCGATTGTCGTTGGAGGTGATCAGTGATTGTTGATGATGGTAAGTTGGTTTAGTGGGTAGTAAATATATTAGCTAGATTATAGGGCTATAAAAGAAATTAATCATCTTGTAATGGCGATCAGAATTGTTCTCCTCTGCTGTTCTGTCTCTTTCAGTTTCTTTCTACTTCTGTTACTCCAGATACTCACACATTATTGGTATTAGACCATCGATCTGGGCAAAATAGTGATCTCTGAGAACACGACGACACAATATTTAAGAAGGCTGGATGAGGTGGCGAAATAAGTAACCTATGTGAAAAAGAAACTAGATCAAGATTTAGGTGAAGTAAAGCTGGTAGAAAAGAAGTGACAGCAAGAATTGGGTGAAATCAAGAAAATTTTTGTTAGTCTCACACACAATGCTCACTGGTGTATGGTGGCAGATTCAGATAAGAACTCCCTACATCAAGAGTTGGAAAATTCTGGAGCCAACTAAAATGAAGGAAATAAAAATTTGGAAGACAATATGTAAGAAGCTAGTGTAACTTTGGAAAATACAGCAGCTCTTATGGAGGAAGTGGCTGTCACCAGCTTGGAACCCACGATGATGAAGCTGGTTAGGAGTCTGCCAGAAGCTGTCGATACAAAGAGGGTACCCAAAACATGTGTTGGACCAAACCTTGACGATGATGATCTTAAAATTGGACGGTTTCTCCTACTATCAAGAATTTTCAAGCACATTTGCAAAAAAAAGTCTGACTGCAAATTTGGCAAAGACTCAGGAAATCTGGGATTGGTGAAAGGTTCATGCATACAATTTAAATAAACAATTTTCCATGAGCAGGACTTGGTTGGAATACTTTTATGGATGTCTAGTTACATAACAAAGCTCCAACAAATTGTCTAGCCCGCTATACAGATCCAGGTCTTGAGGAGCGTAACAAACAGAAAGAAAGAAAGACGAAAAAGGTAGATGTTTAACTAGGAGAAAGCTTCTCTTTCGATTGATAAGACCCTTAAGATTCATTGTCCACCTTGAGGACAAGGTGACTTTTAGGGGGAAATACTGATATGTGGGAAATAATTATTTGAGTAGGTAATAGATTAGTTACAGGCTAGAGCTCTAAAAATGGAAAGCACCATCTTGTAGAGACATTAAGGAAGGAAATCAGAATTTTTTTTTGCTATTTCTCTCCCTGCTTCTTTTTCATCTCTCTTTTAAATCTATCGCTCTCTTCTCTGAATCTTCCCTCTGTAGTCTATGTTGCCCTATTATTCTGTCTCTCTTTATTTCTTTCCAGTCTTATCCCTCAAAATATCTAAATATTGTTGGTATCAGAGCTATACACCATCTCCCCTAGTTGCAACCGTGTCGCACAATTGGTGACATCGGAATTGCTCTATTCTCTGGGGACTAGTTAAACATAGCCGGTACAAAGCTAGCTAACGTAGATAGGTCCCTAAGGCTGCAGAGTATGGTGGATTTTTATGTACTAATTATACGGTAGAGACTTGGATCCTACATCAAAGGCGCATGACTATGATGTGGGGTTTAGATGAGTTTGGATTCTCCAACTTTAATAGCTAGTTTTTGAGGCGTTGTTCTCCTAAACTCATATCGGATGATGATTGTGGGTGGTGGAAATTTCAAGAATAAAATGAATTCTTGATAAATCCGAACAAGTAAACAACATAAGTCAACACAAAAATAACCTGAAAAGCTTTGGACATTTAAGAAATTATCATGGTGAAAGCAAATTGTTTATACCTACCCCATCTAATATCCAGAGAGGGATATGATCGGTGAAATTTAAATAACAATTGAAGTCAATCTCTACTAGTACCTCGGTTTAAGTTCTTTTATGGTTAGTGGTTTTTTGAATTTTGTTGTGGGTTAAGGGGATTTGGATTTGAGACATTATGAATTGATATCAGAATATTACTAAAACATAGGAGTGCATATTGTGTTGGTATAATCTGGACTTTGTGGTAGTCTTTCTTGTGATGATATGTAGCTCTAATAAAGCCATAACGACATGAGTAGAGAAAATCGAAAAAATTGCATAGGAATGTAATTGAAAAGATTGTTGACTGCTAAAGTTGTCTAGTAGTTCTTTGTTGGCAATTTCAGTTTGAACACTAGGATTCTTTAGGAACCTCGATGTATCTTTGAGTGTCAAGTAGTTTAATCAGTAAAAACCAATAACTGAAATCTACAAAGAATCTAAAAATGGAATCGTACCAATTGTTGATTAGAAGAATTAGAGAAGAGGAG